CAGGCCGGGCTCGCCCCAGCTTGCTCTCTGGCGGTGCTGATGCTGAGACCGTCCCCACAGGTTCGGACGAAGGATGTGCTGTTTGAGAGCATCAGCCACCTGATCGACTACCACCTGCAGAACGGGCAGCCCATTGTGGCTGCTGAGAGCGAGCTGCACCTGCGGGGTGTGGTCAAGCGGGAGCCCTGAGCCAGGTGCGTATTTGGCCCTGCTGGCTTCTGGCCATCACCCATCCATCACACTTCTTCTCATTTTAAAAACTGAGAAAGAATTTACATGCCACACAGTTTACCCATTACAGTGGCTACCTCAGTAGTTTTTAGTATCTTCACAGAGTTGTGCAACGTCCCCCTGTTTAATTCCAGAACATTCCATCACCCCGCAAAGAAGCCCTGTCCCCCTTAGTAGTCACTCCCCACCTCCTCCCCCAGCCCCTGACAAATACTAACCCACTTCCTGTCTCTGTGGATGGGTCTGTTCTGGACATTTCACATAAATGGGAATCACACTGTGTGGCTTTGTTTATCTGGCTTCTCTCATTGAGCCTCATGTCTTCAAGGTTCATCCATGTTGTAGAGAGTCAGTACTTACCTCCTTTCCATGATGAATATTTCAGTGTGTGGATGGGCCATGCTGTATTTATCCACTCATCACCAGCCATGGTGAACATGTGTGTACAGGTGTCTTCATTGCCCTTGGGTGGGTCTATACCCAGGAGTGGGATGGCTAAGTTGTTATGGTGACTGTTTAATTGGTGATAAAGAACTCCAGGAGGAAGCAGCATTTGGCCACCCTGGAAGAGGGTACCAGGGTGGCCTGGGTCCTGTGGGCTGGAGTGCCAGGGAGGTGGTGAGATGAGAAGGTGCACCCTTGGCCTTTCGATTTTGGTGCTGGGGAGCCACAGGAAGGCTTTGAGTGGGGGAGGGCCAGGCAGATATAGGACCTCTCTGGTGAGAGACGAGGGCTCTGGGGTGAACTCAGGGCTGGGCCAGGCAGGAGAGGACATGGTTGAGCTGGGGTGCGAGGGGTAGAGTGACATGAGCTGCATTTGTGGAGGAGGGAGAGACAAGACCTGGGGATCCCAGGATCTGGGAGCTGGAGCTGGGCTCAGGGAGGGAGGGAGGGACCGAAGGGGAAGGAAGCTGCTAAATTTCCTCCAAGGGCTGAGCAAGAGGAGCTTCTGGGCCAGGTTGGGCTGCTCTCCTATCCCCATGACAAAGGTCTCCTTCCTGCCTCCTCCCCACTCATGGCCGGTCTCCTCCCTGCCCCCAGACAGCCTGGCTGCTGGCAGAGTTGGGGTTCCCAGTCTGGGGAAGGGCTTCAGGAGTCGGGGGTGGGCCTGTGGAATGCCTGAAGTGATCTGCAGTGCTCTGTGGCATGTGCCAGGGTACGACCTGATTGCCTTCTGCCCCCGAAGTTGTTTGTGGCCTGAGAAATGACGCCGATGGCAATTATCATAGTCGCTAATGCAGCCGTTGCTGTGTCTAAGGACTGTGCTCACCGCCCCACGTCTCCCATGAGGTTCTGAGGCAGGCACTGTTATCAGCGTTCTCATTCTGCAGAAGAAACAGCACCGAGATTAAGACTCTCCCCTGGGGCACACTGCCAGAAAATGGAGGAGCTGGGACTTGAACCCGGGCCCCTGGGCCTGAGCCTCCTTGCTGTGTCACTTTGCTGCAGGGTAACCAAGGTTTGGAGTCCCTACCACGTGCACCCAGGTCCCTGGTTGCTGTCTCCGCTGACCCTTGACTTCTCCGCTTTCTCCTTCAGGTGATGGTTCCCGCCTCGGGCTCCGGTCCCTGCTCCCCAGATGTCCCTGTTGTGGCCTTACCGCCTTTCTCTGGACCTTTTCTCTCCTTCCTCCACGTGGGCCTTGAATCTCTCTTCTCCAGCCCACTCTTCGCTGGGCCAGGTCAACCATGCCAGGAGATGGGGGCCCAAGACCCCCCTCTCTCTCACCGAGCCCCCTGCCTCCTCTCCTCTGCCTGGAGTGAGGGTGTACATACCAAAGACAGAACCGTTTCTCGCCTTTAACGAAAATATATAAAAGAAATCCCTCAGTGTCCTGGTGAGGTCCTGGTGGGGTAGGGAGACACAGTCTCTTTTCCTGGCTGGACTTCAGCTCATCTCCCTGGGAGGGGAAGGTTCCCAGGTCCCTGGCCTGGAGCTGGAGTCCTGTTCTGGCCCAACTCAGTGTTTTCACCTGAAAAATGGGTGCACAGTTTTTGAGGGAGAATTGAGGTGCTTTGGGTCCTCAGGCCAGGACACACGCTGATGTTGAAGTGGGGGGGCAGTCTTGGGGGTATTGACCTGCACTGGACATTTCGAATCTGTTTGTAATTAAACTTGGGAATGACCACGAGGAGCGTGAGCCGACTGCACATTAAGGGGCCCTCTTGGTTGGGGGCTGCAGTCAGTCTCCCCAGTGGAAAGCCAGGTGGCACCAGATTTGGCCTCCTGGGGGCTGGAGGAGGTGGGGGCTGAGGGCCTGTTAGGGGGAGTAAAAGGGTGGTTCGCTCTCCTAGAATTCCCCCAGCATTTCTCAAATACCTCTATTTTTAGAGATAAGAATACCCCAATTTCTCTATTAAATGCACCCTAATTTCTCTTTGGAAACACCTAATTTATCTTCCCAATGCTACAAACCTCTCTCTTGAGATATCCCAATATATCTGACAAAAAGCTCCTTGTTTTCCTCCAGTTGCTCCTGCCTTGCCCCTGAACACGGTCTGATCCCTCAGGGATCCCAGCTTCTTTCCTCCCCGTTTTCTTGAGATACAGCCACACCCTCAAAGCCCCTACTTCTCCCTGATGCCCACTTCCTCCTCCAGCACTGACTTCTACCTTCCAGCACTTCCTGCACATGGATTCTGAGACGCTCCCTCCCAGAGACCACACTCGGGGACCCTCCTCTAACTCCGCCCCCAAACGTGGAGGCATCTCTCCCAAAGGTGTCCCCAGCCGTCTCCACAGCCCACCAGGGCCACATCCTTGCCCAGGTTTCGGGTCTGCAGGCCTGGGGGGCCTAGTAAGGGTGTGGGGAGTAAAAGTCACTCTGCTTTGCCCCTAAGTAGGGGTGAAACCATCTGAAGGTAGAGCCAGAAGGGGACTCTGATGTCATGTCTCTTACTTCAGTGACATGGAGACTGAGAGGCACCAGTCCATCCATTGGTCCATTTGTCCGTCCATCCACCCACCCATCCATCCATTCGTCCATCCACCCACCTACTCATCCATCTATTATTCATTCATTCATCAGTCCGTCCATCCACACTCCCTCCTCCAGCGTCCTAAGAGCCTTAATTGTCTGCACTGAGCTTCTCTTATCTGCCAGAAGCTCTGGTGGCTTAGGGGGATGCAACAGTGACCAAGACAGAGCTGTCCTCATGGAATTAGCAGTCAAATGGCATCAATCAGCAAATCACCACAGAGTGTCTAGTGCCAGCTGTGGCGTGGACACAGCGGAGGCAAAGCTGGATGCCAGGGAGAGCTGCTGGGGACCTTTTAAGCACAGAGGTGATAAGATTCCCAAGTGGGAAACATACTGTTGGGGGCAGGATAGGAATGGGGGTGGCTGAGAGAATGCTCTGGGGGTTGGACCAAATAGTGTGAAGAAGTCAGATTCCAGAGATTTGTAGGCCAGAAAGAGGTCTAAATGCACTTCATTCATTCATTCATTCATTCATAGCCTTGAGTCCTTCCAGGCCTGGCACCACCCCCTTAAAAGTTTCACCTAGCACTCCTGCTAGGCACGTGCTGAGAACTGCACAAACTCAGGGTGCTCAGAGGGGTGAGGAGGCGTACCAAGGCCACACTGCTGGGAGGTGGCAGAGCTGGGTTTCGAACCTCATTACCTGCCCCCCCCCCCAC